TATTTAACAAAAGAAAAACAAACAAACAAAAAAAAGTGATTTGTTTGTCCTGTCCTGTCCTGCTAGTAGCACCTGCTGATGTTTTTGGTTCCTGTCTTTTCTTCTGCAGGGGTGACTACTGTTCTCACAATGACAACCCTCAGCATCAGTGCCCGGAATTCTCTCCCCAAAGTGGCTTATGCAACTGCCATGGACTGGTTTATTGCTGTTTGCTACGCGTTTGTCTTCTCTGCCCTCATTGAATTTGCAACGGTTAATTACTTCACCAAAAGAGGCTGGGCATGGGATGGGAAGAGTGTAGTCAATGACAAGGTAAGTGAGAATGTTTTTCCTGTTATTAAGAGAATCCCCTCACACAATCAGCTTGTAACGGATATATTTCCATGAGTTGCCATTAATAATCTAAACATTTAAAAATACTAAAATGAATTAGAATCATTTCTCTTAAAGTATATTCTTGTTCTTGCCTGAAATCCTTTAGGAGTTTTATACTAGTAATACTTCAGTTAAAATAACTCCCTGTCATCTATTGAACTTTATGTGTTGGACACTGTGCTTTTATCTAAAAAAATATGCTTTCTAATGTAATCTTCATAACAACCTTGTAACTGGGATGTCTTCTTAACTCTTTATTTTTCTGAATGAGAAACTGAAGATTAATATAGGTAGGACCTTTTGCAAGCTCACAATATAGTTAGAAACTTGAACCCAGATCTGTCTGCCTCACCTTTACTCTATGCTTTTAAGCAATGCTTTGCATTGTGATAAATAGATTGGGAGGGAAAAAATGTACATTAACTTTACTTGTTACAGAATTTCAAGCCCTGTCAGTGGGTTGAGTACTCATTCTTCATCTCTTTGTATTTTGTGCTCTAAGAGCCCAGCCAGCACTTTTGTCACTTCTGTGTCATATAGAGTAAGTAAGCAGCTGCTGGAGTGCCTAGAAATTTTATGTTACTCAAGGAGGGGTCGCTATGAGTTGGGGCCGACTCGACGGCACATAACAACAACAACAACAACTTGTCGTCTCTAAGGAAAAAGTTATTTAAAGATTAACTTCTTTGGGGATTATTGGTATTTTTTTTTTTGTTTGTTTAAAGTAACTACAGGGAGTGGGAGTTATGTGCACTGATACAACAGATGTTTCCTTCCTTACCTGTAGACTATTTTTCATGTGCTTAAGAGGGAGGCTTTGACTATACCACAATACAATGTGTTCTTAACAATAGAAAAACTTTCTATTTAAAGGTTTTTTTTTGTTTATTTTACCAATTTGTTTTCCTTAATGCTTTTTCCATTAAACTCAGAATAACACACTTGCTGATTTTGGTTTTCAGTTATTTGACTATAAAATAGTTTTTTCTCATTTCCATGACTGTATTGCAGATTAAGCATGCATACAAACAGTAGGTGCTTAGTTTAAAAATTCCTTCTTTACTTAATTTTCTAAGCTATGTTGTTGTTGTT